GCCCCTAGTAGCGTCCTTGCTCCTAGTAGCGATGCCAGGAGCCCCTATACATGGCTATAATGTTATTGTTATATGTGTATCTATTTATATAATACAGTACACATACATATGCACATTGTCTAAATGTGGTGTTTTTTTGGTAAACCAAAGCTTTCCTTGAAGCGCCGTTTGAATCTCCAAGTCCAAGATTGCATGTATGTAGAGGGAAAGTTCCGAGATGGATATCAACTTTCGCGAGATTGGGAAAAAGTGAAGGCTCTGCAGAGATTTGGAAGCAGCAGTTGTAAGCAGCACGATGGCAGCGCAATGCATGACATGTGAAGGGGCCCTAGTAAGCAGTGCGTTCTGTGCATTTTCCATTGCGGTGAAATATGTGCTGCTTGATTCCCGTTGGGGTACTTTTCTGCCTACCAGTTGGTTTTGACTATATATATTAGAAAACCCGGGCCGATTGGCCCCACGACTCTCCTGAGTCAAAACGCGCGGCCGCTCGGACCTTTTCCGACCTCGGACCGAGTTGCCTGCAAGGGTCAGGATCACGAACGAATGCTGGATGAGGGACACTGCATTTTCACTCCTCTTTATATGATTCTTTATATGTTCAAGCTATGGACTAACGGAAGGTTGCATGTTCCAAGGCTTCCGGCCGAACACATCACAACTTCAGAGGAGGCTTGTGTCTCTGCACTCGTGCGGCTCAAACTCAAGACTTCAAGACCCGTCGAGCTGAGCTTCCTAGAAAAGTTTCCTCGGGTTTGGAGGAATGGCTGGAAGAGGATTCAAAGCCAATTGCCTCCAGGTACAAAGCGAGGTCTTCGAAACGACCTCCGCGGCCTTTGCCATGCTTAACAACCCACACTAAATATTCATGCTTGCTGTCGTCAGCCACCAATTCCTGGTAACTGAGCTTGGATGCGGCATGCTTAGGCAGGGTGCATAGGGTTTTACCCCATTCGCCCAGGGTGGAAACGCCGGGTGGCAAGGCACACTTCTTTCCAGCGCTCATCGGATGGAGTGGCAGCTGCTCTTGAGGTTTCCTTTCCATTCGATCTTTCACCAAGGTGCTATCAGGGATCTGGTAGCTCGTGGCGGCTTCCATGGCCTCAACTGCTTCCCAATCTTCATCAAGCGAGCGCAAACGCTTTGAACCATCATGCATTGCGCCGGTCGATCCCGACTTTGCACCTCCGGTCTTTGGCCCCTCCACAATGGCGACACCAGAACTCTGGTATCGGGCAATCACCTCAGCTGCAGCCTTCAGCTCTTCTGGACTCACGGGTGTCGAGCTGGCCATTTGCTCGAAGTTCGAGTATGTTTCACAAGCGGTGGTCACACGTCGGTGACCTGCTTTGAGAGGCTTGAGCTGCAAGCGAAACACAAACACTGTTATTTGATCTTGGTCTTATTCATCCTTTCGTTTTATTGCTCTGTACATATTTGCAAACGATCTATACATACACGGATTATTTCCACAAGGTTTGCAGGCAGGCGTGTTATCGGTCATGAAGCTATGGTGATACCTACACAAACAACGGCAAAAATGGAAAAATGCACACACAAACTCGACTGCAGGCTTGCAGTGAAACCCCTGCTTCACTGTCTTTCTGAGTCAAAACCCCTTCTCCTCTGGGTGGAGATACTTGCATTCGATGACAAGTTTGCTGCGGTGCGTTCAGAAGCAATTCTTTTGCGTCTTTCCTTTTCAGCTTTCTTTCTATCCAGAACGGCTTGTTCGTCAGCCAGCTGGTATTTGGCACTTCGAAGAACTGATCTTAAGAGATCTACGGGTTCAGCACGGTCCTTGGTCAGACCGTCAGCGACCATGTGTCCGGTTGGACAACACCTAGGCTCTAATCCCGTTCTACGAATTGACTGACGAATGATTGCAACGTCTATGGCAGTGCGTTTATCGTCTATTGATCCACCGTTTCCCAAGGACACTAGATGATCATACAATGATCGACAATCGGTCATGCCGATGGGACTGTGCTTGGTCAAGGCCTCATCAAGTTCGCTCAGCTCGATTGGCCCGTCTGTACATTCGGCCAGCATCAAGGACATCCATTCGCTGACACCTGATGCGGTAGCGAAGGCCTGAGCTTCACCACTTAAGGTGCTGGACACTACCCTTGGCAGCCTATATGATTTCCAAGCAAAACAAAACAGGGGAACATCGTGACCCAAGCTCATTTTTTTGGATGTGAAGGCAGCCAACCAGCCCCCTTGAGTTTTCATTTCTGATGAGTTTGCGAAAGCAGCATCTGACCAAAAACACAGGGTGAGTTCCTCCAGGGGAATGTATGGGACCTTGATCTGTAGGTCTGACTGCTGTCTTGCTCGACGAACTGCTTGATTGGCGTGCAGCAGATCTGACACAGTTGGCCTAGGGAAAGCTTGCTGACTTATGGAGGTTTGTACTGCCAAGTCAGGTCTGGTTTGTGAGCTGAGCCAGCCAAGCGCGCCATTCACTGCTCTCAGTGCCGCTACTTCTTGTTCAGTCGCAGCCAACCAGTGTTTCTTTGCACGGTCCTTCGACATCCTTATTGGTTGAATGTGAGTTGCATATTCAGTCTGTTGAAAGGATATCTCGAAAGTCGTTGGATCTTGTGAGTACACGGTACCTAAAAACTCCCCGGTGCCCGTGCGCCATTTTCGGAAAGGAAATCGTGCTCGAAGTGTCTTTACTGCTTGATCATACACTTCACCTTTCCCACCTGTTATGGTGTCATCCACGTGAGCACCTAGAATACCCTGCAACTTGTTGTCAGGACCGTAGCAGAGATACAGGCAGTTGTCGAATTTCGACCTGGCGAAGCCAGCGGCGGTTGCCACTTTATCGAACTCGCAATACCACTCTTGTGGCGCATCATTGGCTCCATAAATGTTTCCCATAATCTGCACTAGAGAGCCTGGTTCTACGCCAGGCACGCCCCCTGGTGGCAGCTCGGCAAACACTGGATTTGCGAGTGCTTTGGCAGTCACATCAGCCTCAAGGAACGCTCCTTTTATATCTCCTAGACTCATTTCCCATTGATTGCTCACCAACATTTGCAAGACGATGCTTCGGCCAAACTGGGACAGCGTGGGAGAATGGCATTTCCCGGCTAAGATCTTCTGGGTGAGGTCGGGATCGTGGTGACCCCTTAAACACCATCGTGATTTTACCTTGGATTCCCCGTCCTCATGTTTCTCCACCACAACAAACCGGGAGGTCATAATGCGATGAGGTTTGGTTTCTCTGATTCGTTGGGCCTGTCTCGGAGGAATCACAATGATGGCTTTCTTTTCATCACGAAGGGTCTGCCATTCAACAGTTTTTGATTCATCAACCTTTTCTTGAAGATCCGGCGGGTTCTTCGAGTGATGGATTTCCTTCTGCATTTTCTTTTTTAAGAAATTTGCCACAAGCACCTCCAGTGACGGACATTGATCTTGCACAAGGTCAGCCAAGAGACACTCATCGGCATCTTCTGTTCGACTGTTCTTGTTTGGTTGCTCTTGCCCTTTGTCGGGTGAGTGACTCCGTTTGGTTCCATGAGTTTCCATCAACACATCACGAACATCATCTTGGAGCATTTCTGGCGGTCTTAGCCAAAAGGTGGGTGGACCTTTATCGTGTTGTCGAATCCTGGATGCTCGAACTGGTCCATATTGACTATCGGACGGACTCTGTACAGGGACGTTTGCTTCAACGATGTGTTCATGCATGGGTTCCTCTACCATTTGCTCTTCCCTAACTAATCTGGTCATTGACTCCGGCTCAACCCCTTCCGGTTTTTCAGGGGATCCCTGCCTGACATGGACTTCTTCACCCACTGGAAGGGATGCTCCACGTTTGTTTCGAACACGAAAATGCGATTCCCCTGTCCAGCTTGATTCTGCTAATGTCACTTTCATGTCTCTGGGATTTGACAGGGGTTGATGCATGATCTGTTCTCCCGTGTCTCCCCGTTTTGTCAATCTCATATTGTCGAAGTTGAACCCACGAACAACAGGATCTTTGGGATCAGGCCAAAAGGTGTCTCGCCTTGGCGTGACATGCACACGAATCAGCGTGTCTCCACGCCACAGCCAATAGTCCTCTGTACTTGGATGGAGACTGGCTTGAGATGCGTCTCTCAGCTGTTCTGGGCCTTCTTGTTGGGTGAGATCAACATATTGGGAACCTAGTTCTTTGGGAGTGGCTCGATCGAGAAGAGTCTGGAGTCCTAAGAGCTCACGACCATCGGTTTGCGCTAAAAGCCTTTCATCTGAGGTCACATGTCTCAAGTGTTCTGGGGCAACCTTGAAAATGTTTCGACGATGGTGCACTACGAAATTGCGACCTACCTTTCCCATGACGATTGCAACTCCAAACCATTTGCCCCCGACAATCCGTTGACCCTTTTCATACTTCTGAGATCGCCAATAGGCCACATAATCACCTGCCAAGAAGTCCCGCTCTACCCTTGGACGTGCGTTCAAGGCTGAGCGCATGCTCTGATCATCCTGAGCCATGACTAAGGCTGTCCGCGCATGCATTCGGATGGCTTGTGATCGTGCTGCCATGGAATCATGCAGGGCTTGAGTACCAGCCACTGGACATGGTTGTTCCTGGATCAAATCAGTTGGGACCCTGGGATTGCGACCGAACACTAGCTGACACGGCGAAAGACCTTTCTGGCTGATCAATTCGTTCTTGGCGTTCATGGTCTGCACTACACATTGCTCATATTCAGCTCGGTCTTTTGGTTGAGCTTGATCAAGAACCTTGTTTAAGATCACTTCAAACAAATGTCCATGCTTTTCGACCTTACCTAGCTGGTTGTGTGCTTCAGCGGCAATTGTCAACACCCTAGTACCCTCTCTTTCCAGCTGTTGAAACACGGTTTCTGCGGTGTTTGTTCGTGCAGGATCTACGATCACCTCCTCCGGAATGCCCGCCCACTGCTGCCAACCCCTCAAGTACAGTTGTTTCAACACATCCGCTGTTTCTTGTTCAAAGAAAGGGAGCATAACCTGAAAGCTGGAGGCATAATCAACAATATTCATGCATTTGACTTTTTGCCCTACTTTCCAGCCCGAGAGTATTTTTACGTCCCATCCTATGCGTTGGTTGAACTCTGTAGCATGATTTGGTGCGGCAGGAAGTGACGGCGTTGGACGTTTGCGTTGACAGCAAATGTCACACGAGGCTTCGATGTCTGCAGCGAGCTTGACAGCTTGTTCTGATCCTCCGGCATTACGAATGATGCGTACCAGATCCCTGGAAGAGGGATGACCAAGGTTTACATGGACTCGCCTCAACACAGTTGTGACTTTCTGGGGATCATCTAATGATTCAGAACTTGCGGCCAAAACTTCAAGCTCGGGGCAGGTGTTGACTTGGGTTCGGTCAGCCTCAGTGGAGGACGTCGGGATCGACGTTGTCTCCTGCAAACACGAGAACATGCACTGTTGTTTCTCATGAAAAACACATCTCAACCAATGTTCCACGAAGGTTGGTGTGTATTCAGCACACCGGGCACTCAACGACATGCCACAACTCTGACCCGCGATCAAACGATGCTCGGCATGTCCTGGGCAGGTGACAGCTTTGTCAACCATGTCACGGTGTGACACTGCAAGTCCAGTCGGCTTCTTGATAGGAAGACCAGTTTGTGGATCCTTGAGGTCATAGGCACACATGTCATTCCGAGTCAGTGTGAGCTGCTGTGCCCTGAGAAGCTTCCGAAGTGGCTCGAACTGCCACAGGTCACTGTTCCAGGGATGCTCAACCAGCACTCTACCACCTCGACGGAGTTGCTTCTTGATCTGATCAACACAAAATTGTGCTTGCTTCTTTGCCTGTTGTTTGTTGGCCAACTGCTGTAGGAGTGGGAGACGATGTTGATTCAATCTGTACCATCCACCCCAATGTTTGCATTCTGGGCAACAGACCAACAGCTCTGGTTGAAGGTGTTCCAGCTCCTCATCCACAACTCGCTGAACTTTGGGATCCGTGAGATCCCAACCTTGCTTGATGTCGTAGGACCGGCCACTGGCGCCCCACTGCCGTGCCTTCTCAGCAAAACGTGGGGGCGAGAAGAGCTCTGCCACCTTGCATTGACTACGCTCCTTCTTCCAGGCATGTTGCTGAGCCAAGAGACAGCGATGTTCCCTTTGGCTGAACTCAGCCACCCTCTCATGAGATGCGAGGTGGATGGTCTCTTCCTCCACGGCCAACGTCTCGGAGGGCTCGGGGGACAAGTTGTTGGCTCCCTCATTTTCTTCCGGCTCGGATGGTTGTGATGTCTCACACGACGCCAACATCACCTCAGCTTGGTCATCGAGCACGTTGAGGACATATTGTCCAGCTGAGTTCACCTGAAGAGGACGTGCTGTGCCTCCTTGGATCGATAGAGTCTCACCCTCAAAGTCCAGGATGGCCTTGAGGCTCTTGAGTGTGCTTCTGCTCAACAACAGGGGAGCAGCCCCCTTGATGATCGCAGCTTCGACTCTGCCAATCCTGCCATGGATGCACACAGGCATTGATACCACTCGTTCGGACAACTCTTCGTGTCCATTGCCGAACTTGAAAAGGTTGCGCTGATGCCTAGCATCTGGCACCATGAGACCTCGGGCTTGGTACAAGCGCATGAACTGGTTCAGGGTGTCCTGTCCTACCAGGGTTCGACTGCATCCGGAATCAAGGATGCCGTAGCCCGGCGATGAGACAAGCAGCACTTCTGACGGAGTTTGAGCCAGAGTGACTCGGTCCGTCACCATCGCTGCACCGTGGGATTCACCAGTTTTGGAACTTGATGAGCTTGCTGCCACCTTGGCGGTGCAATTGCGAGCCCAGTGCCCAATTTGATGACATCGGCGACACCGTGATCGCTTTTCCAGGTCTTTGACTTCCTTGCCAAAACGTTGCTTCACCTCGAAAGCCTGACTGAAGCGTCTTGCTTTCTGTAGGCGTGAGATTTCTGTTCTTTTCTCCTTCCAAGTGGCGGCCAGAACTTCGGCAATTTCTTCTTCATCATAATGATCGGCTGATTGGGCGTTTGTATCACCCATGCCGTGTTCGGCCAGGAAAGCCTCTAGTTCCTCGAAAGCCACTGCATCTGGTGCTTCGGTCTCTCCAGGTTCATCTATCACGTCATTGGGCTCGTCCTGAACCACGAAAGCAGAGGCACTTTTGAACCTGGTGGAACGAGTTGCACGAAAATCCGGAAAACAGCTGCGCATGGCTGTGATGATCAACTCCAGTTTGAGCTCTCCTTGGGTCTTGGCGGTGATGATCGCCCGTTGATCCTCACTCAAACCTGAGGCGTGCAAACAAATCCAACCTTTTGCTTCACTTGGGAACTCGATGGCGACCTTCCGGCGACACTTGGAGAAGGTCTCTTGGACTCTGCTAGTCCATGCAGCCATTGTCTCTTGATCTTGTGCTTGAAGCTGGAATATTTCCTTTAGGCATTCAGCGAGCCAATCGTGCTTGAGCTTATCCGGAAAACGCTCGTCCAGGGCAGCCCAAACATATTTGTCTCCATTCTCTTCCTTCAGTTTGTCCAGCGACAAGTGCTCGACCGTTTCGAATGCGACCCCATCCAACAAACACAGAATGAACGGCCCACGTTGGGCCGCAGTCATGTCCTTGGTGGATGCCATCTTTGCTTCAGCCCAGAGTTTCCAGCGCCGGTATTCCTTAGGATCCAACGACTCTCCACTGAACCGGCGGGTGTTGCCGTATTGAGCACCCTCGGTTGCCATGGCTGCAAATTAAACAATTAGGGACACTGCGTAGCGTCTCAAACCAACCTAGGTTACGCTAGAAGGACCCCGGATGCCCCGCCCTGTGGCGGGGCTCCGCTACCAATTAGAAAACCCGGGCCGATTGGCCCCACGACTCTCCTGAGTCAAAACGCGCGGCCGCTCGGACCTTTTCCGACCTCGGACCGAGTTGCCTGCAAGGGTCAGGATGCACGAACGAATGCTGGATGAGGGACACTGCATTTTCATATATATATATATATATGGGTTGGTCTCAGATGATTGTCTCCAAACAAAAAAGGCTAATTACACTGGCCAGAACAAACCACTGGGCGATTTCTCACAATCTTTCAAAGTCGTCGACATCGCCATTCAATCCCAGGTCAACCCCCTTACTCGTAGGTTCACCTGCTGGGGATCAGAGAGAGGGCAGTGGGGTAGATCTTCCTCCAAAAAGGTCCGAAAAAGAAGGAATGGGCCAACGTGCTGAAGGAAGAAACATGAAGAAGTCTGCCACTTCTGAGATTCAGGTGGTCAACACCACGAACTTCCCTATGTGGGAGCCCCTCACGATGGTTTTCACAAGATTGGCCGCTGGTCAAACGGCTTGATAGGGAGGTCTGAAACATGGGGGAAGCAAACCCATCACGACGTCCGAAATTTCGTTGGCCTGGCTGGGGGGTACAGTGGACAATGTGGAAAAAAAAAATCATTCTTTTCCGTACCTCCTTGGATCCCCCTATGGATCCCGATCTTACAAGCCAAACACAGACCGGTCCGCAGCGCCCCCAGCCGCGACCTCGCATTCCACGTCGCATTCCGTGGCAGACAGCTCCTGGTCGCGGCTTTCACGTCGCTCACCAGTCGCGTCTCGCGTCACCGCTTCCCTTCTCCACCTTCTCACCGTGTTCCCATGCGCGACCATGCGGAACGCGTGGAACCCGCACGTGTTCCGCGTGTTGTTCGCGGTGAACCCGCTCCTGGATTTTGGCCTGGTGGTTATGGACCTGGCCCATGAATGAAAAAAAGCGAAAAGAAAGTTGTCGTTTTTTTTCGCCCCTTTCGGCTTGTCTTTTGGCCTCGTGTTTTTGGCCAAACAGACACTCGGCTCGTTTTCGGTCGGAGGAGCCGTGGAACATTGGGTGGAAGATATCCGAGCGAAACGAGTAGCTATAGGCTATAGAAGCTACTAGTCACGAGTGCATGGCTAGTAGCTATAGAAGTTCTAGAAGCTACATGAAGCTACTAACTAAGGGCATTACGACCAGTAGCAAGTGCATCGCTACTAGTAACACCAAATGTGAGGTGAATCGCACCTCTTTTGATTGAAACCCATAGGACCTTCCCAGTGACCTTTTCACTGTCACTGGGAAGGTCCTCACCCATGGATTTCAATCAAAATAGGTGCGATTCACCTCATGAATTGCGTCAGAGAGGATGGAACCGTACTGTTTTTCATCAGCTCTGGCAAAAAAGAATAAAGAAACAAGAACTCGGTCTATCAACACACACGAACTCGACCAGTCGCCACGACGTGGCGACTCCGCCGTCGCCTTCTCCAGGATGTCGTCGCGGCCCGCCGCCCGGAGTCGGTACTCCGAAAACCAATCGTACAACCTGGGGGATGATGAGAGAGAGAGAGGATATCGGAAGAAGAAGCATCACGCGATGTGTACTGCGATGTATTGTTCGAAGGTGCTTTTCAGGAAAAGAAGATTGACAAAACATGACAAAAAGACATCACACCCCACGCAAAAGTCTCAAAGTGCCTTGTCTCAAAGTGGTCTGTTTGGTCTTTTCTCGGTCGCTTCTGAAGGGTGCATTCGGCCTTACAGTAGAACATCGATGGACATCGAGCAGTGCCGAGTACTCGGTGCCGGGGGCTTTCTTCTCGCGCAGCCGCAAGCCTCAATCCTGGAGTCCTCAGGTCCGCGCCAATCAAAAAACTCGCCGACCAGAGGCAAGGTCGTGATCTCGTACACCTGGCAGAGGGTCCACCCCTCCTCCGGCCGACGGCCCCGAAACATGGCCGAACAGGTCTTCCGAGCGGAGCACTGGTCATCAGGTCATCAGGTCCGCGACAGCTCAGGCATCGGGAGATGGGCCCCAAAGGTGACCCCCCCTGGCACCGAGGGTCAATAGACCAAAAAAACATTCTGCCAGCACCTACTAAGGGACCTCCAAACAGGACACCCCGCTGCAGGTCCTGGTAGTTGGGGGATGTTGGGGGGTCTCCCGACGTCAAACGAAGCAGAAACCATGGGAATCCACCACACGGCCACAACCTGATGTCTCACCATGTCAACACCCATCTCTTCCACGCCATGTGTCTGTGTTAACCACATCTGGCTGCCTGCAGCCATTTTCCGCTCTCTCGCGTGAGCTTGGCTGGTCTTTCGCATTAACTGATGATGATGATAAACATCCCTATACAACTCATGCTGAGCTGATGGCGTAGACACCATGCTTGCTATTGTTTGCTCGTGTCTCACTGACAAAGAAACTTGGGGGCACGTCAGACTGTGATGCTCTGCATCTCTTCTGCTCCAAATGCGCAGTGTCTGGCACAGTGAAACTGCTCCAAATCGCTCCCTCAAAGTTCGACTCCTCTGGCTCTCGCCTGCCGCATGTTTTTTGGAATCCCCCCGGCCAGCTGGTGCAGCGGCATTGAGCCCTTCCATGCCTTTCCCAAAAAGCATACGATGGGACTCCTTGATCAAGATTGAGACACAAAGAGTCTGTCTGAAACTCTTGGAACCTTCATGCATCTCCATGGATCGTTTGGTTCCTGTAATTCTCCTCTTTGATGTGGGCTGAACTATGCTTTCACCACTCTCCAATGCCCAAAAGCACCCAAACTTCAACAAAACTTCGGCCTCAAACCCTCCAAACTTCTCCATATTGTCACTTCATTGCACGCACGCACATACACTCACCGTGGAGCTCCACGTCAAACGAGCTGGCCTCTTCAAGCTCGCGCGCCTCACGTAGGTCCTCGAGATAGGCCTCGAGCCAAGAGCGATCGCGCAGCGCGCCGTGGAGGACCCAAGAGATTTTTAAGCCGGATGGAACGATGGATGATCTTTGGGTGTATAGACAAGATGGCCGTCTGACATGTGAGAGCGTGGTGGGATTGGGGAATGTGACAGAGGATGTTTGCTATACTGCACATATACTTAGATCATCTTAGATCTTCCAACTGTGCGACAATCATCTGCCTTTTCATCGGCTTAAAACCACCAGTAAAACCAACCAAAAAGGCAAACATGTTGCATAATAAGTTGGAAGATCCAGGTACATGACTTGCCATCATGTTTGGTCGATGGTTCCATCTAGTTCCCATTCATTGCGTGGGTCTGCGACGGGCTGTGTGTCTCAAGGATGGTGTCCACATCCAAGTCGGCTTGCCCGCCATCGGGGTCATTCTCAACATGCGACACTCCCCCAAACCATACCGCACGTACCCGCAACCATGAAAATACCGATGTTCGCCTAATCCCACAGCGGGATCACAGGGGATTGCGGCTCTTTCACTACTTTTCACTCGCATGCTGCTGAGGAAGACATTGAGGTTCGGCCTCCTACAGACGTCGATACCGGACTGAGGCGCCCGGCCCAGGAGAGCACCGAAACGATGAAGATGAGAAGAATTAGGCCGCAAATCAACCTGAAAAAAGAACTCAGAACCACAGTTACAAACTGTCTCCATCTTGACCTAAGCTATTTTCAGAGTTTGTCACAGTTGGTCTAGAGCTCCAGAGCTCCAGATTCCTTTTCTCTCTCGCCACTCAGTGACGCCTTTTGTCTACCTTTTCAACTGAAACCCTGCCATGGCGAGCTTCCAACAGAAAAAAAACGCCTATACCAACATGCACCTACAACCTCCTACAAACCCCAAGAAGAAAAACCAACGGTTCTATACGTTCCCATCATCTCCTTCCATTTCCATCACCGGGGCGGCCGCACCCCCAGGCATCGGACCACCTGGCGGCGTTTGACCGCGAGGCTGGCGACGAGGCGACAGCAACCGACCTCACGGCGGGCCTAACTCAAAATGTCCAGTTTGCACTTGCCTAGGTTATTGAATGCGCGATGCCTAGGCATGTGATTGATCACCGCAGCATTTGCGGCTGCAAAGCCCTGAAGAGTCCCAAGGGGGACGAAAGCTAGGCATTTAATACCTTGCTGCAGTCGTAGAAAAGCTGCGTTGGGCTTGAGCGACCTGTTCTAAAGTTGACCTCACGGCGGGCCTAAAGGGCTCGTCCACAAAGGTGTCATCCTGCTCGTAGGCATCGTACCGATATGGCGCCTGACGAGTCTGACGAGCGCAGAACACGGAGAATTCACTTCACGCGGGCTCTGTCGGTCTGTTTTTTTGGTGGGCCCTGTGGGCAAGTCTGAGGACGCCACAGGTCTGCGCAAGTCCTTCCTACAAAAAGCATGGAAGGACGGCACACCGGGCATTGCCAAGGAAGCTCCACAATAAGGTCCACTGTCATCACAGCCTTTCCATACCTTTTCCTCTCTTCCTCAACCTCTTTCCCGAAAAAGCCCAGCACCCGCGGATGTCACGGATCAGGATGGATGGATCCGTGACAACGTCCTCGAATCAATCCTGGAGGCCAAGGGTGGTTTCATGGATCGGCTGCCACCTCAGGCCAATTGAAGCGAAGGAGCCAAGAGGAGGTGTTCATGAGGCAGGGACGCAGGGTGGGTTGGGTGGTTTGGATGCAGCGGAGTGAGGGTAGTCTGGGGCCCTATAGGGGTCCTCTAGGGTGCAGTTCATGGCAGCCAGTTCATGCAATATATGCGTGATATACTGACTGCGACAATATGTGTGTTCACAGTGTTCACTAGCCAGGCAAAGAAAGAAAAAAAACGGATCAGAGATGATCTTGATATCAACTTGATGTCACATTCACCCGCTCGAACCTCACCATGCCCTTCTCACACGCCCTTCACCCGCCCTTCTCGCCCGAACGAAACCACGCCCGAAGCTTCGCCATGCATCGCCACAGCTCCCACCGCACGGTCGATTCCTCCCAGCGCTGAGAGCCTCACTGCTGGCACCTTCAGGTCGACGTAATCTCACCCTGGAGTCGGAGTTTTTTTACCGTCGCACGACCGGACGAACGAGGCACGAGCGAGGATCGAAGCGTCGGAGCCATGGAACGGTGGAATGGAGCTGGTCTGTGGTGGATCAGGTCGCTGGTCTGTGGTGGTCGCGCGGAACGGAAGGGAGCGGAGAAAGGGAGCGAAAGCACCAGCTGAGCGCCGAACGAAGCTTCCTCCTGAGCTTGGGCGATCCGGTGTTTTGGTGGTCCGAGCCGGATCAGGAACTTGACCCAAAGGTGTAGGTGGGACCGAGCACCAAAACTGCCAAGTGGGACCGGGGCGAATGCAGGATGCTGCCACGTGCGCAAAGATCTGAGTTACCAGCAGTTGACACTTCACACCGAAATACGAAAGAAAGAAATAAAGAAAGAAAGAAAGAAAGTTGAGAGAGAGATAGAGAGAGAGAGAGAGCGAGATCCCCAATCATCACGTTTTTCTCGGCGCAAGTCTGCACTATACAGAAAGACGTCGTGATAATCCACTCCATCCACTTCGATGTTTAGGCTTGGAAGACTCCAGGATGTCTTCCGGAGTCTTCCCCCGTATTTCTCCATATATCCCCATATATTCGATCCGATTTTTAGCTCTAGAGATGTTTGCAATGTAGTGTTCTCCGTCGATGTCAACTCCTTCCAACTGTTCTGTGACTCCAACTCACTAAGTCCACCATCGTCAACATCGTCTGTGCGCACGGAGACGCACGACACGGACCGACGGAGAGACCCACGGAGACGCACGACACAGACCGACATGGTTTTTGCCAGAACGTCCGTGACTTGACTCATGAACTACCCCACCTGGACGTCATAAATCCACCACTGCCCAGTTCGGGGTAGTGGCTGAGTCATGAGTCATGACTGGTTCGGTCTCCTGTTCGAGCTCCACTCGCTCGTCACCCTCCTCCGCCGGGTTTTTCAGCGGAATCGATGACATATCCTGGCCCGCTTGGGAAGGTGTATCGGGCATATATGATGGCATGCCGTTGTGTCATGCATGTACAGTAGGCAAGAATGAGGCCGTTTCACACAAAGCCTGGACCTGAAAAGCTCTGCAGGAGTTGGATATGGGTCTTTCATGGCGCCCAGTCTGAAGCCAGACTGAAACAACGACGGCAGGGTCCCCGCACCGGACCGGAGAGATCAGTGATCAGTACCCCAGTACATCAATTAAGACCTCCCAACAAATCGGGATCGTGCCTCATTGTGTTCTTCAGTTTCACGTCTGAACGATGTTAAAAGACCTCAGCCAGCCCCTTGAATAGCTTGGAGGCCAAAGCCACATTGAAAGGCCCATCATCGCTTCCAACCCGGTCGAAGATATGTGTGTTCCTTCCAACCCAAACCCCCCCGGTGCCTCCACGAGACTACCCAAGTCCGTCTCATCGTAGTCGTGGGCCATGGGACCCAATGTGCTCCTCCCGATGGTCTTCCGCGACAGAGACCCGACCCCTCTGTCGTCGAACACATCCGTGGGGGAAAACATGGGAAAACACAGCATATATACCCATGTCATGTGATGTTCGTCATCATGTTCATCATGTTCATTGTTTGTTCATTGTTTGATGATCATGAGATCTTCGTTCCCCGTGACTCATTCCATCTTCTTCATAGCTCGAACCGCTCTGCATCCCAACCCCATCCCAACCGGACCGGCCGTGCTGCCGGCGCGGTCGCCCACGAAACCGGAGCCCTTCGAGCCGAGAATGGAGCTGCAAGCGTGGACGGTCGCCGAGGCAGACGAGGCACCCGACTAGATTGGTTCAGATTTCCCACCCAACCATTGATTAATTCAATAGCCTCAATCCCAAACAGCTATTGTTTTCTAAGGATGTTTCATTACAAAAGCCGGTGCCAGGATCCGCCAAATGTGGTTGCTTTACAGGTTCGTGGCTTACCAGAAGACTTGGTGGCAACCACGAGAAGCCGAACAAGCCAGGAAGACCCATTGCATTCCGACAATGCTGTAGATTCTTCGGAATACATCCATGCCAGCAATGACCTGCAGCTGCGAAGCTTCGCCAAGCAAGCCAAGCTTGGAGTGCAAGGTTGGAGCCCCTTGTCAAATTCTCAGCAATTCTTAGTCTCAATCTCAGCGTCTGAGCTACAGGCCTCTCCATCACGCGTCACAGCATGAATGTGTCGCATGCCATCCTGACCAGCTCAAGCTAGTCAGGCAGTCGGGTATGATTTTTGGGGGGTCAATCTTCACAAAGAGTTCCAGTTGTGTCAGTACGACAGCTCCAGTCAGGTGTCAAGGGTTCAATCACGTTCTGAGAAAATCTTGCTTCCTCAGAGTGACTTGGAAATTTCGTACAGAGATAGAGCTGTCGCTCAACATCCTTCAACCAAAAAAGGGGCAAGGTGGAGCACTTAGTGGCTGAGCGCAGCTTGTGACTAATTTGTCATTCTAGAAGCAGTGCTTCCCGAGAGATCCACCTGGAAGATGAAACTTAGACAAGCTGCAGCTCAGTTGGTGTGTCTCCACATGTTTGGATGAGGCACCCAAATGGTCTACATATACCTGGATCTTCCAACTATGCAAAAACTTGAGCATGGCTGCTTCTATTCTTTGTTGAAAACACCCAACAGTTTGTGCAGTTGGAAGATCTATAGGTATACCAGTACACCACATACATGGCCCCATCAACTGCCCAACAAACAGGACCACAAAATTAAAGATGAATGGATCGTCCATCCCTCTTTCGACCACTACCAAGGTCCCATGCAGCACGGCTTGGATTTGGTCCAGGAAGCCGGGACAATTCAAGAACAACGAGTCCCCATGCTAATGAAGGGATTCACCATGATCCAAACAATCCACAGCATCTTTGACAGGGATGAGATTACGTCCCAAGACATCGGCCAATTGGTTCGGTGGGGCGAAAGGAAAGCGTGGCCAACGTGTCAAGACCTCCCGCCCCTTTTCCCCCTCCGCTCCGCTCCGCTCTGCTCCGTGTGTCCGGTCCTCACCCCGAAAAGCGGTGTCCGGCCCTCGTTCCGTTCGGCGCATCGGTCCCTGCCGAGTCCCGGCCTCAAAGATGACTCCACCACAGAGAGCTGGATCATAGTCTGCGGACAGAACTGGGAGAGTCAAGAAGGGAATCTGCCACAGAGGTCTATTTGATTCTATTTGGTGGTTCCTTTTTTTTGGAGCTGTGGTTTCAGAAGAGGCTCGTTCCTTCCGAATCAAAGGGTCGTGCCACCGGATGGAATTCCATTCTTAGACTGGAATTAAGAGGGGGGTAGTGTCAGCATCTTCCAAGTTACAGCTACCGCAGCTACTATCAACAACTTAGAAAACAAACATCACCTCGTTGGACATCATCCCCTGCCTGGATCGTGCAAGTTGGTGAAAGCCACCAAGCCCTGGTACTGAGGGTTCTCGTCCATCCGCTTCTGCAGAAATTCAACCTCCAAACATTCAACAGAACCATCACTGATTGGGTTAGACGAGAATCTCACAGCAACACATGTTGATACATTTATTTGCTTCAAACCTATTCCATGTGCTCCGGCATTCTGGTTCGATTGTCCAGCCAAAATCTCCAAAACTGGTCCAGTCCAACCACACCCGCTTTGCTAAAGCCTGCTTCATGCAGGAGGGGCAATCCCCATCATATAAGAGGTTGATCACCCAGCGGTCATCCTGCGCCGAGGGCAGCCGATGACCAGCAGCAGACCGACGGCGCAATCGGCGATGACGAAGCAAACCAGCAGCAGCCCTTGCAAGTTTCTGGGTGAACATAAGTTTGGAGAGGAAATGCCAGAGTTTCTGGGTGAACACAGGATCAGATTCGGACCTTCAGATGGGTCAAGTTCGCAGAAGTCTCGCCTCGGTCACGACTCAAAGAGAACAAACACGTGCATCCAAAAGCCCACCACTCTTGTGGCAAAATGATTGACCAAATGCTCCGAATACCACCGTCCTTCCGGAAAAAAAGGGGTTCCGAATCTCAGCTCCATGGCTCTGTGGTCTCTCGGACCACATGAGACTCACAAGGACCGCGCGCGTACCACAACGAAGAGCGCGTCGCCGCGGCCGAAAGAACCACACGCGCCGCCGCAAAAGGCCGGGACCAACGCCCCACACTTGGACCCGCCACTGTCTGTCGCTTCCACATTCTGTACCTCTCCAACGTCCTGACGGACGCGTCCAAACCCGCGTAATGATTTCGCGGAGTTCGACGTGAAGAGGCGACGGACCAATGGCGTCGGAGCATCCGGCACAAACCATAGTGGCTTAGTCCTCAGCCAGAAGCTTTTTTGGCGATAAACATCGGAGATTTTAAAGCCCCAATGTGGCTTCGATCCATTCTGCACCTAAATTGTTGCTGAGTGGTGGGAATATGTGGGAATTAGAAAAAGCATGAAAAAGCATGTAGATTTGTTCCAAGCATTTCCAAGCAGCATTCCTCTTCCAAATCATTCCAAATCAACTTTCTAAGTGATCACATGATTTCTATCACATCGTCTAAACATGAACCCTCACTTGAAGCCGTCACCCGAAAAGTTCGTGCATTGCTCCTCTTCCGCGACTCTTGACTCCGTGATGATCTCGATCTCATCTCGTTCAAAGTGTGCATTGAAGGCCTCGCAACGACCACGTCCCGGTTCCCTATCAGACGGATCACCGCGCCGGTGAAAACCGGCGCTCCCCTGGTGTTTGTTGCTCGGAACCAGACGGATCCCGCTTCCGATCGGTCGCAAAGCGGACTGAACCGTCGTGGGATGTTCTTCGTCAAAGGGGTCAAAGGGGCGACCGTGACTGCGAGGGCACCGTGTTGTCGCTTGAGGGGAAGAACGAAAGGAAAGGCCGAGTCCAACATGACTCAGCCACGAACCCCGAACTGGGCAGTGGTGGATTATGACTTCCAGGTGGGGTACTTCATGTTCGTCAAGTCACGGAAGTTCTCTACGTGGATTGGCCCGCGAGTCATGTGACTGTCGACCTACGGCCCATCGGCTCTGTCCTTGAACTTCTCAGTTCCAGGCGCCTGAGCACGAATGTTCTCAACTCATCGAACGTTCAGCTTGGCCCTTCGGAACGATCTGTATTATGGACAACGCCCATAACGCCTCGGTTCGATACTCGCTTCATTCAGCTGCGAATCGGACCCGGAAGAGCTTCATGGCACCGGTCACTGCCGCGTCTCCAGCCACGCCGGCTTCGGCGCGGCGCGGTCTGGGGGCCTTCGTGAGCTTCACCAGGATCGGCCGATTCGCCGTGAGGTGCGGGTCTTCGATCACCGAGGTCTTGGTCCACATCGAGCGAGCGGGGGGGGTGGGCAGTGTTTCGGTGCGGGGCTCGGGCCAGAGTGACATGGTGTGGTCATGTGTGTTCTTGTCTGTTTCCGGGGTGCTGGAGTGACGTGGTGTTTTGAGCAGCAAATTCAGTTCCAAAATCATCTCTCATCGTATTGGCCTAAAGAGTTTAATCTCAGATATGGTGCCAAAAGATTGCAAAAGCATCGGACGCTTCTCCACAAGCTCTGGTCATTTTCCCAAATGCTCCACCTCCCCCAAAAAAACACACATATTAATGCTCCCCCCCCCGCCAGTCACCCTCAGGTCCAGAACGTCCACGTCTGTCTAGACGAGGTGCCACTTCGCCCTCCAGGCCCTTTGGGTTGTACGGCTTCCTCGGTCGACCCGCGGTGGAACCCGGTGACGGAGGGGAGGTGACTGGGCCCATGCGGCTTTCACACGCGACCGCGGCCGAAGTCGCTTCGCCCCTCGTCTGGTCCGTTCGGTGCGCCCCCACGGAGCCTGAGGTGGCCCACCCTTTGGAACCCGGGACGTGCCAGAAGATGACGTCATCGCCGACTACCTGGTCAGCTGGTCAGCTGGTCGGCGGGTGGGAGGACAACAGTGGGACAAGATGGACACAGGGCATGTCCGTCTGCGAGGACTGACGCGGTTGTTGAAACGACATGTGACACGCGCCCCTCTGCAACACGTGGGTTCACGTAGCACACATGACCACGCGGTACCATACCATCAGTCGTTATCTACGCAGAACATCTCAGAAGCAACGCGCTGAACGGTCTGGCAGCTCATGTGACGTTTCCCGCAACGTGTTTGGGTCTTTTTTCCGCTCCGGCGTCGTCGTCGAGAGCGGCTCAGCCGGGCTCGGGCAACTGCTTTCCGCCCAAGACCTTGCCGGGGCCGCTGCCGGTGGCGACCGGTCAAGAAGCGACCATGTGATGGTGAGACCGTTTGGCGCTCAATTCCTCACACCAAGACGCGAGGGTTGCGTGGATGGGGCAATGGTAAGTGCCTACCTCTCATTTTGAGACTTGACTACAATCCATGCAAGCTAGATGTAGCGCTGTAGCACGTGAAAGAGGGATGAAGCAGCGATGGGATCAACGTTGATTGCAAGCTTGAGCCCCATCTGCCTCGACCTATTTAGCCTCTTCTTCATCTGTTATATGGTTCGACAATAATACTATAACAGAATTCGATGGTTTTGAATCCTAGTTGTTGGAGACCCTGCTACACTTTCTGTTATCTTTATCATACTCGTTCACCGGTTCCTATTGTGTTTGATGTGCTTCATTCTTCCCTTCGACCGCTTCTCACCTTGAACTGTGAGAAGTACTGCTGCTCCAGTTGCCTGCAAGGCACTCCAATTCCACAAGACTCCCAAAGCGTATTCGGAATACCATGGAATAACTCCTCCGAGTTCCCTAGCTTGGCCTCCGACCTAGCAAAAGGATGTTATTTCATGGTCAAGTGTTACGTTTTCACTTCCTAACCCCTAAGAGGGGTCTACTCTGCGAATTCCCGGCCTGGCCATGGCGTGTCCCTCTTCCGGCCTAGGGCGGCGGACCCGATTCGAACGCTCAGTTGGAACGGCGCAAAGGACGCTCAGAGAACGAAGAGGTTTCCAGAGGCTTTAGATGTTGAATTGGGGGAGAAGGTATACTGAAAAGGTTCTGTACCTGGATCTTCCAACTGTTGGCAACATGTCTGCACCGTGCAGTCTGCACCTTTAAAGTGGGTTGGTTTGATAGATGAAAGGTATTTCTTCTTCTTGCACAGTTCGAAGATCTAAAAAAGAGTGGTCTTTAGGTGAGAAAGGAATTTCATGAATGTCCAATCAATTCCAATCATCTTCAGTGGGTCAAAATCTCGTCGTAAAAGGAACACGCGTCGTCCTTCTTCCCGCGCCTCATTGGCACCATGCGCTGCCTCGAGGCGCGTTCTTTGGCTTCTTGGGCGGCGCGACGATCCGCCTGGCGAGCGTGACTCAGAACACGCCGCGACCGAAACAAGATCACTCTGTGTTCTATGAAAATCATACAATTCAAGCGCTTGTTTTTTACAGACTACGGAGCAGCATGAGCAGCCTCCCCCAAAATCCCATCGCGAAGTCCCTGGAATTTGGAGATCGCACCACCGATTTGGAGACTCCTCCGGTTCGATCGCACCGGCGCCGAGCGCGGAGCTCTCGAGGTCCAAACCACCGACGCGAGAAACTCGATGGCCACCGCGACACGCCGCCGCTCCACGCCTTCATCTGTTCGAGCTCTGCGATGGCCTGTTGCTTCTGCCTCGCCTCGCACATCCACGTGCGCAGCTCTCGCTGGGTATTGAACAACGGGATCGGCGGTTCCACCGCGACGCCCCGGGGTGAAATGCGGGTCAGAACTGGGACCGATCTTCTAACGTAAGTCCTGTATGCCTTTTCATCTTATAAAACCAGCCAAACGTCAAGCGGCAAACAGTTTTGCATGGTTGGAAGTTCCTTTCGTATCGATCAGAGCCGTGAATGACGCGGTATGGAATGACGCTCTAGTCGGTTGGAGGCCCTCGGCTTCAAAAGGAACCTGCAGGTGTTGAGTAGAACATGCAAAGCAAAACCACGTCTTTCCCGGACCTCTGCTATTCTCATCTGATACTGCTGAAGCTCCTGGGATGTCGGCGTCAGTGAGGGTCAAAGGCAAGTCAAGTCATTTGCATGGCATGCTCAGACCTGCGAGCACTTGCAATATTTGGAGAGTGCCAAAGTAATACGATGCCACCAGATCCATTCTAGCAACCATCTCTGAAATTAGCAATCCAGAAGAGGTATGAAGCTTATGCTGAAGGTGTGACAACGCTTCGTTCGCAATCAAACCTACCATTCGGTTGACAAGCTTCTTCTTCAGCCTTCCTTTTCTTTGCAGATGAGCCCGACGATGAACCAGAAGAAGAGGAGGAGGAAGAGGCTTTCCTCGAAAATAGAAACATCTGAAAACCCGCTCTGATCTGTTTGACCCCTATCCAGCCACTCTGGAGAATTCTTCACTGGCACGAACGGCTGAATCAAGCCATTCCATGACGAGCAACATAAGGGGATTGAGGGGAGATTCCAGGACATCTCCCTGCAGCTATCTACAAGATGAGAGGCTTCTTCTTCTTCTTTTTCTTCTTCTTCTTGTCCTTCTTCTTCTTCTTGTCTTTGCTCTTCTCCTTCTTCTTCTTGTCCTTTTTCTTGTCCTGGCAGAAACCACCCTTTCACAAGTTCGCAACACACTGACGCACCCACACACCTTGCTGCGACAACTGGAGCACAGTTGTTAGCGCCACGTGGTCGCAGAGTTCTCCCGGTCCTTGCTACTGCCAGCTCCAGGGATTGAGGGCTCCATGACCTTCTTTTCCATGAAGTCTAATGGATGAACACCCATCTTCTTGGCCTGCTTGAAGAACTGCCTCAAAACGTGGAACAACGGAGGCGGAGTCTGATGAGTCTGTGTCGCGTTCCATTTCGAGACAGGGAGAAGGATTGACCTGGGAATCCGAGTCTGATGAGTCGGTGTCTCTTCCGGTGGAATGAAGAAGGAGCTTCACCAAATCCCGGATGGCAAGCGGGTACTACTGGCTTCCCCCAAAAAAAAATGGATCAAACTGCAGGCATCGCTTCGCCCCAAAGACAAACGCAGTGCAAAAAAACAGAATGGATCAGGGATCTCTTAACTTAACCACATCCAACTACCCAGGTTCAGATCGCTGAGGTCTTACACTCCGTGGAACTGGAAGTGGAAAAGCGTTTGGTCTGTGGATTTCATGGTCATCCTTTTGGGGCCGGGCCATGGCATCCACGATGGATCCAACCGTTACGAGGAAACAGCTTGGACCAGCAGATCTTGGACCAGCTTCCCCCTGAAATTCTCTGGACCCACTTGAAGAAGTCCCTGAAGTCCCTGAAATTCTGCATATGTTTGTATACATGCACTATGATACACTCCCTGGAACACGCACAGAGACGTGGATGGCAGGTGTTCCCCAATTTCAAAGGACATAAAATTCAGGTTGTCCTTTTTTTCATATTATATAAACCCCTCTGGAGAAGAAAACAAACTTCACCCGGAAAAAACGAAATGCTCCCAATCCTCCCAACCCTCCAGCCCCTTCTCCTGACCCTTTCACCGCGCGCGCAGCACACCACCCGGCGCAGCGACGCCACCGGTGGCAAGCCACGAAGGATCGAAGGCCGAGTCCATGGTGCTCAACTTGTTGATGTCGACTTCCGGCGCTGCACGGCTCTGTCCATGCCATCTCTTTCCCACGATGGCATCCTGAGCTTCCGCGGGGGTGGGTGGTGCTTGCGATCGCTTCGTGCACGTACACGGGCGGTTCAGTCGAAGGCGGTTCTGTCGAAGCCGTACCACCAGGGGTTTGGATGGAATTCCGTGATGCGAGAGGCGATTCAAAGCGCAAAAGGCGGGCATAAAAATGGGCTGTTGTAGGTGGGAAGATGTGGGAAGGATTCTGGAGGAATCTTGCCAGGACGCAGTGACTGTTCTCTGCTTGTCAGCCTCCTTCCTTCGCAGCTCTGCTACAGCTGGATGAACACCAGCATCAATACTATCTTCCACTGTCTTTGGCTTCCAAACGTAGTCAAACAGCGCCGCCCTCGGAAAGCTCAGTTGCGTTTCTCAGCCAAAGAATGGCATGTCGAATCATATCGACACACCGATCATACTGACAGTGCTTATGCATGCTTATGCACTCATTCCTGCTGGGGCATGCTGGAATCCGTCAACCGCCACTCAAAGTAATTCACATTCTTTCCCATCTTCGGTGTCTCCATGAACATCCACATGGCAGCCATACAACAAAAAGAACTGAGGATCACGCATCCCGGCAAGGAGGCCTGGGACACAGACCGTCGGACGCCTCGCTTCCCCCTCGCGACCGAGAGCGCTGCGATGCCGACGCCGGACGCTTCACGGCCCGCGCCTGACAGCCCTGGCACCCCACCCGCGTGCGCCGCGGAAGCAGAAGGTTCTGGGAGATCAGGTTCTTTTGACCAAGAAAGGGCCGGTGGGATCTGTGTTGGGGATGTGAGATGTGATGACTTTATATCAAGCACTGAAACATCACCAAACATCCTTACTTGAGGTGGCAAGTAGGGTTTGCCACAGACTTGAACAAGGGATACAGTGGTGATAGTGTGCGTGGGTGTATGCAGCTTGTTTCATCATGACACTTGACCTGCTATAGGAATTGCTCATATTATTCTTGGTCTCATAAGTCTATCAGTGCAAGTGGCCATTCTCTTCTTCTCGAGCCACAAGCAGCAGAATTCACATCCAGCATCACTCATTGTCAGTGGCTTGTCTGGTGTGTTCCTTCACCCAAGACACACCCGAGACTCAAAATGAGTCTTGGTTCCCCACACTCCACTGACTCACTACCAGCTCTGGCTTGCCGGAAAAAAAATAAACAAAAAAATACATTACATGAACAAAAAGAAACCCCAAAAACAAGCAAAAAGAAGACACTCCGAAACCACGCATCGGTGAGGTAGTCACGCCCGCCTTCACAGGTGTTCCCTTTGGAATGGGTAGCTTCTCGACGACGTCCTCCTGGCCCCAAACCGAAGGCTCCGATGTGACCGATTTTCTCCACAGAAAAGCCACCTGGAGGGAGTTGATACAGTATGGACTGAGTAAGTGTCGAGAAAAAGCATCAAAAGGCAACTGATGCATGATCATATTCTGACATTATATGCCGATATGCCCATACAAGCCGATACCCTCCTTCCGAATCTTCCGAGGTCAGCTAAAACCACCCTCAGGATCCTTCCTGGGTTCCTGGTGGAAGCACCTACGGAGATGCCCAAGAATCCACCCGGCACCTCCCAGGAGATCTCGGACACTGCTGCTCTGACCTGCAAACGGGTTTTGGAGCGCCTGTGGCGGACTCTGCCAAGACCCGTGGCCGAAAAAGGCCCCCTCCCCCCGTTGTCGTCACTCCAAATTGGGCTCATGGCCAGCGTAAACCGCTTGGAGCGTTTGGTGTGACCTGAGCGCAAACCGAAGATCGGCCTCATCGTCAACTTTTCCCGCTTCCATCTCATGAACATGCTGAGAACATCGTTGATTTTTCTCTGAGTGGTTTGCTTTAGCCCTGAAAGAAGAAAAATGCTGCCGTCACATGCATGCTCATCCATGCCACATCGGCTCAACAAACCACTTCGGCTCCGACCACTTCGCCGGGAGGAGAGGCACGCGGCGGCCCCAATGGGAGCCCAAGCGAAGTGACCTCGCGAGCACACGCCGCTCCAACCGACAGGCCGAACGGAATCGGCCGAACGGACGCGCTCACACTACAGGCCGGGTGACGGTCTCCCCACAGATTACAAACTCTATTCGTGGTAACTGGGGCTTTGGTTTTTGCAACTGGGGCTTTGGTTTTGGCCAGTGTGAAACCTTGAAGGTTCAGAATAAAACATCATATCTCCCCATGGGTGCTGCTGGCTCATGAGCATTCACCCACATACTCATCCATTCTTTCATCCTCAGCAGTTCATGACAAAACATCATTAGCAACATCACTTTTACCACCTCTCAATCAATCACTCTCTTATCTTCATGAAAAGATGAGGGGTTATTTTAGACATCTTTAAACTATATAACTATTCCAAGATGATGGCAGGTAGCCTGGCTGGTTCATTGAACCTTGAAGCACGCTAGTGATTGGAGTCCATGCGCACCCACAACACAGGACCAACTGTAAGGAACTACTGAAGACCCAGTCCACACTACCCTCCCTTGGCACCCTTCAGCACTTTTTACACATACATGCCTTGGCTCCTCCTGGGTCATAGGGACCAAGGACCAGACAACCATTGCTCTCACAAGGATTCACAGTGCTCAGCTGCAAAGACCATTGCACTTGAGAAGAGGTCATAGTGGCACTTGATGGCCTCATCAAGCTTCGTGCCTGTAGGCATATTCTTGCATGCACGCATTGCGTCAACGAAGGGGTCTGCAGGTGTTTTGTTCTTCAGTATGTACATTGTCACATCATTTTGCCATTCCAAAACTGGATATGGAACATCACGTTTCATGCTGCCATGGCCCTTCCCATGCACCAAAACATCCAACCCTTGGGTCGTCATAGTTTGGTGTTCGCCCTCCAGAAGTTGGAAAGCCTTGGTCCAGGTCATGGAAATCTCATAGAGGGCAACATTCCCGTTAGGTCGACCCATTCCAGCACAGAACCGCATGGCCTCACCACATATCTCCTCTATGTCCCTGGATTTTTGTTTCCATTTCTTTTTGTCTTCATCAACAAAGGTGAAGTAGATCATAGCCTGCAAGTGTTCAAACAGGCGAGTCATCCTCAGTGATTGCTCCCCCTCTCGTTCACCATGGCCCTGCCGCCACATCACAGGAAGGTTGGGCTGGTGGGTGGTTGAGCCAAAAGTTTGTCAGTTTCTCAATTGACAAGTCTTTTCTAGTCTTGGTCCTTGGTCCTTGGTCCTTGGTCTTTGTCCCAGCTCCTGTCAGGCCTGCCAGGCGTGCCTGCTGCTACAGCGGCAGCTGGCAGAGGTGCCTACCCAGAGGGAGAATGCACAACGCTGTATGTTATTGCTTTGCAAGGTCATTGGTCCGTCTTAAGTTCACCTGTGAAGCACATGCAGTTTTTTCACTCCAATCTACAAAAAAGTGTTCCGCAAACCGTTCCGGAAACAATCCCTGATCCACAAACCACCCTTTCTGGAACACATCTTTTCCAGCTCAGTCAATATAGTACATCGATTCGATGCTAAAGCTCAGTCTCCAAGTCTCAACCTCTATGAATCTGGACTTTCATGTGCCATGAAGTGTCCGGCAAATGGCTGAAAAATGGATTTCGCTCAGGATAGACTAATGGCATTCTTTCAGGAGCTTGACATTGAAGCCAGGGCGTGTGGTTTTCAATGGTTGGTGTTTCTGAACAAGCCAGGACCAAAGACTGAAGATCTGCAGCAGCCCTGTGGTATCCATATCGGCAATCCCTAATGAGCTGTGCCATCTGTTGGAAATGCTCTTTCTCCTTGTCAGTCATTGAGGGCCCTTGGCATTGAGTTGGAGACAGTGTTGTCACACGGTCAACCCTGCTTGCAGGAAGGACACACAAAGGGTCCTGCTGCCTGTCTCGCATGTAGGTCTTAACACAGCACATGACATCCTTGTCTGAAGCCGAGGACCTCAACCATGCATGGTGCTTGGCCATTGCTTTCTCATCCCCTGTGAGATCCACGATTTCCCCATGCCAATTGAATGAACCAAAGACCAATCATCAACAGCATCGCCAGGACGGGCAGCCTTAGCAAAGAGTATGTCCAATGGTTCCTTCTGCGAAAGGTAAGGGCGGGCCAAGAAATTGGACACTGTATCCAAGATATAGACCATCTTGGACGGGCCTTTCACAGAATCTTCAGCAGCAAGCCCCAGCTGCCATGGTGCCACCACAAATCGGTCAATCTGCCCATTTGGAGGAAATGGAAGCACTGTGGTGACAATAGGTTCAGGCACCCATCCAGTCAATGTCTTGACTCTTTGTTCCAACCCCTGCATGTCAACCACCAACTGGTCACGCTGAGGAGATCCAGGCGGATACGTAGCCATGAAGTAGTCATGGAAAGTCAATGCATCCTGTGCTTCAAGATCCACAGACCCACAGAAGGTCTTCTCAGCCAGGCTCACAATCCTTGCTGCGAGAGCCATGGCTTTTGGTGCTAGATTGTGCTGGTAAGCAAAATGTATTTTGTCATGGCAAGTTCTCATCGGGACATGTATTCTACTTTCTCAAAATTAACCTGTTTCCATTCAGAGCCACCTGCAAAAAAGCTTGCTGATTGAGCCAGGTTTGTGGGTGGCGCGGCACTTGGCACCGCCAGCAAGTTTGAACATTTAGTAAAGCCAACCTGACAACATCAGTGCCTTCAAATCACCAAGTCTGGGTTGGCCTTTCTTAACCATCAAATTTGCTGGTGGCCATCTATACACCATCGCCGGCAAACTCATGATGAACTTGTGCAATGAGTCTGGGCTGCCCAGAATGGAAAAATTATAAATCCATGGGATGAAAGCCGAGTAGCTTATTTGAAAATATGTTCGGCCAGTCGTGCACAAAAAGATCAAAAAAGAAATCATAAATCCTAAAAGTTAGTTTTTGCACATTACATAACATACAAGTGTGACCTTACAACATCTGGACATATGGGATTTGCTGGTGGCGCGGGGTATGCCATCGCCTGGACCGAAAGCATTCCAACAAACACGAACCTCACAAGTGTGACCTTACAACATGTGGAAATATGGCGGGAACAAATTTGGACAGGGAAAAAAGCAGGAACAAACAAATTGGGAAAGCAGGGACAAACAAATTTGGACAGGGAAAAAAGGCATTCCGGACATACGGGGGCTTCCAGGTGGCGCGGTACACCCCGTCGCCTGGAAAAAAGCGTTCCGACATACGGGAAACAAAAACATTACATTCCGACAAACGGGACTTACATTCCGACAAACGGGATTACATTCCGACAAACGGGATTACACTCCGACAAACGGGAATTGCATTCCGACATACAGGAATTATATTCCCACGTACAGGAACTGAATGACAATGATGACACAGCGAACCAAACAAACAGAGATATGAGACAAAGTCAGACATGGGGCCTCAAGGAAAATGATACATGAATCAGGATGTCTGTTGGTATGAAAAATCAAAAGGCAGCCCAGAAAAAATGAACATGGAGGCACTCAAAGTGATCAATTCATTGCAATGGCACACTCGGTTCGATCTGCTGTAACACGCAGAAGCAAAGAAAAGTGAGGCGGACTTGGTCCTTGGTCTTTATGGTTCACTTGTAACTTGGTGTTGTTGGAGACTGCTGGATGCGCATGGCTGGAATGAAAAAACTGAGGATGGAGGGGCAGGAAGGTGCAGACAAAACGCCAACTAACAACAGCAGCAACAACAACAACATGAAGAACTGCAATGAGCTTTTGTGTTCTTGAATGTTTTTGATCTTGCAGGGTGTCAAAAGAGAGCATGTTTTTTTTAATGGACTTTGGATGTTTACTTTTTTTTGGTTTGTGATTGACCTGAAAATGTGTTTTTCCCTAGGTTTTGGCGCAGTTCCTAAAATGGTTTCTGGAACGCCATTTCTTTCAGGAACTGTTTCTGGAACACATTTAGCCCAGCCCTTCTCCCGACAGGCACCTCTGCCAGCTGCTGCTGCAGCAGCATGGCTGTGCCAGGCAGGCCTGGCAGGAAGGCAGCAGGGAATGACCGAGGACCAAGAACCAAGGACCACTGAATCCACAAGTATAGCCTGTAAAATACATAGATATTACTTCCAACTTGCTTCCTGCCCAGCCCAGCGCTGCATGTTTTCCATGTGATACAAGGCTTCCGTCAGTCCATCAGGTGTTGGCCCAGGCTTCAGTCCATGGTCCATGTGGTCCTTGGACCTTAGGACCAAGGACCGCACGAACCACAGACCGAGGACCAAGGACCAATTAGGCCAATTACCTAGCCGCTCTCATGCGCACTCAGCCCACTGCGCTCGGGTCCCGATTCAGCAGGTTGCTGTGCACTGCGAAGAATTGCTGCCCTGAGTTGCGTCGTAGGTACAAGGGTTCTTGCCCTTGGGGATCTGGGAGCCACAAGCTGTGTGTAGCACATGTCGCAGATGACTGTCCTGGGACGCCTGATGCAACAAAGTCTTGGGCAGCTATCTTCCATCCACTCAAAAACGTTGCAAGCCAAGTAGGATGCCCCAACTATAGTCCAAATGGCCACCCCAATGATGGCAAGAAGGTCCACAATGCCCATTTGAGACTCCATCATTACAAGGCTAATCAACAGGCGACAAAAATATCTGACCTGTTCTACTTTTAGTTTTGAGATTTGGGTTAGGTGTTGAACTATACTATGGCTGCTGAATTGAGTTTGCTAGCTTGGGCCACCTGGCTGGCATTTGGCAGCTTTGTATGCATAAACCTAGGACCATGTACCCAGTGTTGGGCTGAAGTGTGCTCTAGCCAGAGTGGAGAACAAATCATACTTGCGTGTGAACCTTGCTGCATGTTGACGAAACAATTATACTATCAAATTTACAGGGCTTGATACGTGCTTCTTCTACCTTGCACATTGCCAGGTGGTAACAAAAAGACAGGGTCAAGAAGCAAGGACCAAGGACCCAAACATATCAAAACAAATGTGTGCTATAGAGCAGCATTGCCTACTCAATGTGGTGAAGCTGTGGCCAATGACAGCCAACCCTTCCTGTACCTCCTTCTATCATTGAAACAAAATCTTGCCATCTTCAGATCTTCACATCTTCCAAGCTTTAAAGCTTCACATAGAAACTTTAGAAGTTTCCCATGGATATTCACTAAGTGGTTTGTGTGCTTGCGCACACTCTACGGGGGCTCAGCATCACCAACCTAGCTTGGAAAACCAAAGCCCCAGTTGCAAAAACCAAAGCCCCAGTTACCATGAATAGAGTCGAGTTTCTACGGCGATCGGCGGTTCGGCGAGGTGCCATTGAGACAAAAAGAGGCTCAGTTGCCCCAAGCCACTCATTTGGAGGGTCGATTCAGAACCATCGAAGGGACCAAAGTGACAAGACGAGAAGCGTATTTGTTCGTTCGAGATGACAAACCTTTATAAGAGAGCTATAGAGATTTAATCAGGCGTTTTTTCGATTCATGCTGTTCTTTTTCACCTCGTTTCTCGTTCCACCTCGTTCCACCTCGTTCCACCTCCCTCACCGCCGGGTGCGGCGCGCGGTGCGGCGTGCGTCTCGCCTTGGAACTGACCATGTCTCGCCGTCCTGTCGGCGACGCGGTCGCGGTCGCGGTCGCGGTCGTCCCTAGGCTCACTGGTCCTTTCGAAGAGACTTCCAGAGGTTGGACCCTTGATGATTGTGAAAAGGGCCAAGAAAAAGAATGGCAGAGAACACGTGAGAGGGCCGAAGAATGGCTTTTTGAAGAATGGCTTTCTTGGGCAAACTCGCCCTCACAGAGCTATAGATCGTACCTGTGCACCAGTCCACAGATCAACTGTGACCTCAGCTGTTTATATGGGAAGAGCAAAGAGCAGGGTCCTCCGGGTCCTCCCCTTGAGCAGATGTCATTGCTTTTCGAAATGAGCCCAGAGTCGGCTAGAGTTCCAAGAACATCTGCATCTCCATTGTCTCGGGTCTGCATTGGTTGGTCCATGTGCCCCATTTCGGAGGCGTTTTCTTGTATCCAGTAGCGAAAAAACCTCCACCTGAATAGCGGCCTCTTCAAACCCGTCAACCTGCGGTGACGAAAGAGCACCACGGTCCACCGTCACCCGTCCACCGTCGCGCGAAAAAACACCGCCCCTTCGCTCCAAACCCGGTCCTTTCGGACGAGCGTGACGCTGGCGTGACGCGTGGCGCACGTGGCGCACGTGGCGCAGGTGGCGCGTGTGGCGCCTTCGCCTGGCGTCCAGGAGAACGCTGCTCAAGTGTTGAAGTGTAACGAGAGACGTTCGTACAAGTAGCATTCGAATGCATTTGAATGCATTTGAGTAGTGCCCCCCATTTGGACAGAAATAGAAAGAATGCCCTTTTAGACATATATATGAGTCCTTATTTGGATTATATCGTGTGATGTTTTTCTCTCAAAGCATCTAATTTATGATCATAATCTATCTCCTTGGGGGTTCTCTCCACATCAAGCCAGAGTCTTACATGTCCCTACCAAACTAAAACCCAAACACGCTATGCAAGCCAATATGACCTACAGACCTATATTCACCACCAAAAACTGAATAGGCCCTATATGTGCGAAGAAAGGCCTGATCCTTTGGGGACTACTGCATCTTTCACGAAATCGATGGGAGCCCCTGGTCCAATCGAGGAGCCCCGGAATGACGGATGGCGCGATGTGCGATGGCCATGCTTCGGCCGAGAACACATGCGGTTCGCACACGTATTGGATTTGGTGCTCACACGAGTCGCCAGCCTGCCCCCTCAAGGCATACTGTGCGGGCTGGGCCATGGTGCAGTGTCTGCGTCAGACCAGTTCTCGTGGTGGGCGGGTTCTCAGTTGGAACGGCTAGTGGCTCTGGTGAGTCTGATGATGTCTGAATGCCATGAAGTGGTGTGGTATCTGACAAGAAGATCTGACCAAATGAGAACTTCCAGCACCCATGCCATCCGCTACCAGCCCAAAGTCTGCGCATGTTAATTCAAGCAAGATGCTGGACAATCGGAGAGCAAGGGGTCTGCAAGCCTACCATCTATTCATGACTGTGATGCTCCTCTGATGATCCTTTTCAGCCAACTTTCGTGAAAGCACCGGCGTTTTCCCCGCGCACTTGAGCGCGTGTGGCAAAGACCAGTGCCATCACTGCTTCGACCGGTGCGTTAACGTGCACTAAACTACTGAAGGCGAGAGAACCACGCTTCGAAGCAAAAAAGCACCGTCGCTTTCAAAGCGAGCTCTGCCTGGAAAGTGCACTCTGCATGACCAAAAGTCACGCCGAAGCTAACTACTGCTGCCAATTTTGCAGCTGGAAGAAGGGGGACCTCGCCCAGCGTGCCAGTGTGTGCACGCAGCGTACGCACGCTCTGCACCCAGATTGTTGGTGGATTCTCCATATTCTCCCAACTGCCTGCTCCGTGCCTGGTCATATTTGCAGAACATCGCCTTCCTCCTGATGTTCGCAGAGATGCTTTCGGGTCGGAACACCCCCGCGTGGCGGAACGACGGCCTCCCTTCACTGCCTCAGGAGGCCTCAGCGCTTCCCCGGCTCGCATGCGGAGGCTTGTTCCACACGGCGAACCGTCCGAACCGTCCGGCTCACCGTCCGTCCCTTTTGGAGGGGTGAAGAATATATGAGGCAAGGCATCCTCAACCCCCAAACCGTTCGCACATGATGTTGGGAAATACTGGAAATTCACCAACGTCTATGGCTGTCTGGGTTCACACATGATGGTTGGGAACCACACCCCAAATGCCCGATGACTTTGGTCAATTCCTCTTGATATCCCCTCGCCAAAGCTGCCAGACTGGACAAAGAAACTGTCGGAGTCCATGACGGAATTCCTCTGCTCTAAGCGTTGCTCCAGTACTGCACCTAGTCTATATCCAGCACTAAGATGGGTTCTTGACTCAAAAAGACTTAAACTGGTCTGGAACCACACTACAGATCGCCTGAGATTCAATCAAAGAATGGCCGGCCAAAACCAACGAGGTTTCCTTTGATACCAAGTTAAAGAACTGGAAAGGAACCCAATTCCTGTTGACACTTCGGACACTTTGTGACACTTCCCACCACCCAACCCATCCGAACCCAACCACCCAACCCGACCGCAAGGGTGGCTCCGCACCTCCAGTCGCTTGCGCACCTCGCGCCAGAGGCCGCCCAGGCGTTGCTCCAAGACCTCCGGGTTGCGGGGGTTTCGGCGGCTCCTTCGCGGGCGGAAAGGGAAGCTGGTTCGAAGAGTTTTTGTTCAAAACTGAAGTAGTTAGATCTTGTTTTACATAGATTCCCTGTGTCATTGAGGGTCCATAGCACCGTGCTATGGAGGGCTTCAAGGATTCTACGGGATTCTTATAGTGATGTGTCTTGGGTGAGGAACACCAAGGCCTCCATTTCGGAGGGCCGGCATCGCCCGTTTCGGGCACGTCGCACGTCGCACGGTGCCTGCCAGGTGAGCGCCGGCGAAAGATTGCGCCAGCCTCGGGCGTGGGCTGTCCGCGGAAGGAGCGAGTGTTCGCCCCCCCCGTGGTATGGGGGGAGGCGCAAGTTTGTTCAATGCGTGCGCTGTTGTTCAATGCATTTTTCAGGTCTTGGAAAAAGGGATCATTGGTGGAAAGGGGGAGAAATTTTTCAGACCGTGACTCGTGTTGGTCATTGGTGCCTGATGGATCCAGCCACCCTCATTCCTTGCGAGTCGCACCAGTCATTTCGGCTTCAGGGCTGTGAGTCGTTCGGGAAGTGCGTAGGTCTTTAATTTCGAGGCGAACGAGGCGGAGTCGAGGAGTTGTTGCGGGACACCCGGGATCTAAAGCATCATCTGGGCCCCTGAAAGCCTGTTTTGGCGTGGGGCCCCGCGGAGGGAGAGAAGTATCTTTTCGCTTGAATCTGGGTTTCTGCAGATCTCGAACCCCTGCGGCATCGTCGGTGTGCGAAGCTGAGGCTAGCGGCCATATTCCTCGAGCTCCTCCAAGCCCTGTCCTGCCACGGTAAAAGAATGTCCAGAGAACGTCAAAAGAAGTCACTGGCGGATTCTGAACATTCACGAAAGCCTAAGACCCTTTTTACTGGGCTAATATGTATGCCCTGGAAGTCCGTTCGACCATCCAAAGAATGGCCTTCCGGTTACCCGAGTCCATTAAAAATAGAAGCCATCAATTTAATATCATATTTTATTTACGTTATGCCAGCAATTGTATTATTTAATGCTGTAGTTGCCAAAAAGAATAAGAAAGGTCAAATGCTGGCATATGTTTCATGTTGTTCCTTTAATTTTGCTTTGATCTTGATTTCTCATGGTATGTCTCTCTTATTTTCTTCTAATTCGTTCTTTCATTCATGCTTTTATTGTTATTGTTATCCGCGGTCATTGGTATCTTCTTCTTGTTTATGGCTCTTGCAACATATCGTCGAATTGGACTTCTAGGGCATTCAAATGAATGACTTGCGTTTTCGCATCCACCGCCATTGCTTTTCGTGTTTTCCTTCAGGTCCCACCAGTCCAAAACGACCCCCACAGCAGGGGCGACAGCAGGGGCGGCTTGTCACCACCCACCACTCCTCCTGACATGAACGCCACCACCGGGCCCAGTTCCTGCGCTTGGTCGCGAATCGGTCTCGGTTTGCTAGAGCGAAATCGGTTGGTGAATCTGTCAAAGTTGGGTCTTATCTCATGTGAGTGGTGTCAAAAACCATCCGGGACCATAATCTTAATACCTAAATTCTTTCATAGAGGCTTATGACGTTGCTCGTGTGAGTTCTTTTCTTTTTTTCGGACATTCAATATATTATCTCAATAGCAATTTTTGTACGTCCACTGATATGGCCCGCGAGATGGAGCATTCATGATCATTCATGAAACTTCTTCCCTCTTCTTCCCTTGATGTCCTAAGAATTCAACAAAATTCCTGCGTGTGGGCCAAGCCAAAGGCGGCCCCCTGCTAATGGCCCTCTCGCCAAACCCCAGCAGCACACCGGCCTCGCTACCGGTGCACCCCGGTCCCGTACCGTTCCTTCCCCGGATCGACGGCGGACCAGCTTTGCAGGACCTCAGAGACGCGGTATTCCGCGGGGGGTTGGACGGCGGAGCCTGGTTTCGTCGACCGCGGTGGGTTGTTATGCCAAAAAAGAGATGCACTTAGACATTATAGGGTCTCCATCCGGGGGGTAATGACGAACATGTCTATTCATTCATTTATTGTGAAACACAAACAGGATCAGTGTCCCGATAATGTCCGATTGGTTTTGGGGTTTTCCACATTCCAAAAACACACAATTCTGAGCTCAGTAGATTCATCACCATCACAAAGAATTCGGGTGGAAAATTTGAGGTTGCCAAACATAGTAGGCGACGGAAACGTTTTGAAGACTTTTGGAAGACTGTCAGGCTCCATCAATCGTCATGGTTCTCTCATTGGCTCTTCACAGGGCATGTCGGCATGCAGCTCCCGTTCCGCCGGCCGGTCCGCAGCATCCCAGTCCGCAGCTCGCGCCCCCGGCGAGGCGAAAGCGGAAGACGTGCGAGGGACACTCGAACTTCAGGGTGTACCTTCAGCTTCGAACCGTCCAAAGACGACGGGAACGCAGCTGACGGGAAGCAGCGCTGGAGTCACGCGATGGCGAACGCGAAGTCTTTTGGAAAGCATGGCGCGGCTCGCAGACGGATGGGCGAGATCACTTAAAGGCATCCACAGAAGAACCAGATCCTGAAACTTGCCTGAAACCCAACTGCTCCAAACATCCTGAACATGCCAGCTCCAGTCCATGCTGCTTCGACTGCTCACTTAATTGGAAGCCTCTCGGTCCGCAGCGTTGAACCTCGACCTCTCCAACCTCGCCACGACCGCGGCACCGACCCGCGCGAGGTCGACGGGCGCCCGGACCGGATCTGGCGACCTGGAGCGCTAGCGTCGCTTCCCAGGCGCTGCAGCGCGAGAAGCTTTCGGTCGGGAAAGGAGTCACGTTATTGGAAAAAGTCATGAAAAAGTCACAAGGATCAAAAGCACCCCCCCCAACCTCACCGGATCAAACGGTCCGAGCATCAACATTCCTCCCTCTCTCCGCCTTCGGAGGCGAAGATCAGGGCCATGGAGCTGGCCGAGAGCTGCAAAACCTCGGGACCGTCGCGCGCGCGTGCGACCCGTCGTTTCGTTCGCACCGCGTGGAGGTCTGGTCTGTTCTTTTTCCGCAAAGAGTGACAGGTGCGTTAGAAGTAAAAACGCTTCATTCAGTGTTCATCACCCAGACACCCCAGGGGACTGTCATATTTACATACATTGGGGTGGTTTCAGGGGTCAATAGTAGGCAAATATGATCAAATATGGCACACATCGAGTGTTTGGGTCATCACATCATCCAAAAACTTCTGGGCCCTGATCTTCCGCGCCCCAATCAAATCATGGTATATGTACCCTTTTCGCCACATGGCCTGAAATGCACCACAGTTCGTTCTTCGAACCCCAAACAGCTTCAAAACGATTCGTTTAGACCCCCCAACAGTAAACTGTTTGGGGAAAAACAATCAAAAAATCATCAAAGATCCACGTCCATCAGCCCACGTCCCACCCTCCTTGCGCCTCCTTCAGCTTGAAGAGCGGCACCGAGATCGCTGCTTCCGCGCCCACGGCCTGCCCCGTCCACTGCGACCGAGCCCGGCCAAACGGTCGACCCGCCCCAACGACGACGCTCTTCAGCTGTCGGCTGTGCGCCTGGGTGGGTTGGAACTCCAGCAGTTGGAAATAGGGAGCACGGTACTGCGGCGCCGCCTCCGGACTGGCCTCGAAGTGCGAGTGCACATGCCATCCGAAGGATCCGGTGCAGGTCAGGCATGCATGAGGCTGT